TAATAGATTCGCCGTTCAAAGGTGCTCCTGTTTCATAGACCTTTCCTTTGGGGCTATCGTGGTCTACAGGACTACAGGTATGGTGTTTGCCTCTCACTCAATAGGTCCTGGGTTCGAAACCTGACAGCGACGGAAAAATTTTTCTAAAGAAAAAAATTCTTCTTACAATTTTACAGCCCTCTAAGGCTGCAAACGCACTGGTTTCACTTTCCCCACGTTTTCAACTCTCCGTTTTTGGGAGGGAAAGTCCTGAGTTGATTACACAAACAAAGCTGTAAAGCAAACACACTGATAGCCTCCATTCTGATTAAGCAATCTTACCGCCGGTTGCAGATAGCCCTGTGTAGGCCTTGACTCTTCTTCTTCTTCTTCTTCTTCTTCTACCCCGTGGTTGGGGCAACCGTTGGGGCACTGCTGCATTGGAAATCAGCTCTCGCCATCTATTTTTGTCCTCTGCTCTCCTCAGATTGTCACCCATCGTCTTTCCTGTCCACTCTGTAATGTTGTCCTCCCATCTCCTTCTCTGCCTTTCTCTCTTTCTCTTTCCTTATACGGTTCCTTACAGGATTGTTTTGGCAAGTCCTATGGATCTTGCGATATGCCCATACCATATTTTTAGTTTTCGTCTCTTCAATGTGGTCAGTAGATCTTCATATTGCCCCACTAAGTTGGTGATTCTCTTTTGTACTTCAGCATTTGAAACGTGATCTTTGTACGAGATGTCAAGGAGTCTGCGGTAATATCTCATCTCTGTGGTCTGAATCTTTTTCTCTAATTCTGCTGTTAGTGTCCATGACTCGCAGGCGTTTGGCCTAGCTAGCCTCGAATTACTTCTCCCAAAATCACGAAAGAGTAAGGAATGTGAAGTCAGTACGTTTGTGTAGGCCCTAATCAACTCAAACTTTCCCTCCCCAAAACGGAGAGTTGAAGGGGGGGCTCTCGTGGCCTAGAGGTTAAGGTGTTGGCCTCTCATTCAAAGGTCCCGGGTTCGATTCCGGGTAGCGACCAAAAAATTTTCTTCTCTAAAATTGTCTCCTTTCACATCCTTTCCTGATCTCTAACAATGTTCTGTTGTCTGCTTTCATTTCCACTTTCTGCCCCCACCCCCACACCTTCTTTGCCCCCTCCTCTGGGCTCCTGACTCTTTCTGCAGCCTTTCTACTGCTACTCCTTGGCTCCTCCTAACTGCTGTCTTTCTGCCACACCCCTGATCTTCTGGTAGGAAAGATCTACACCTAGCCTTCTCGGACAAGGGCGAAAAATCTCGGAGGGCCCGTGTGCAAGTTGCGCACGTTAAAGATCCCGTGGTGGTCTAAAATCGATAAGAGTAGGCTTCGGCCGCCATCCGGGCAAAATTCAAAATTTCCTACCCACGAAAATGTATTAGGTGTGTCCCGCGGGCTCATATGACCTTATGCAGTTGCGAGCGCCGTAAAACCCTATACTAAACAAACAAACAAGGGGGGTTGAAAAAGTGGGGAATTTGAAGTCAGTGCGTTTGCGGCCGAAGGCTTCCGTCACAAGCTTGTTCTCAGTGTGTGACCTCCTCACGTCGTACTCTACTAGATCAGGTTCCTAGATTGGCAGAGTAATTTGTCCTTTTATTTTTTTAAATTAATTTATTTTATTTTTTGGTAAGTGTTTTACGACGCTCGCAACTGCATGAAGTCATATGAGCGCGCGGGACACACCTAATACTTTTAATTGGTAGGAAAATTTGAATTTTGCCCGGGTGGTGGCCGAAGCCTACTCTTATCGATTTTAGACCACCAAGGGATCTTTAACGTGCGCAACTGGCACACGGGCCCTCCGAGATTTTTCACCCTTGTCTGAGAAGGCTAGGTGTAGATCTTTCATACCAGAAGATCAGGGGTGTAGCAGAAAGACAGCTGTAAGAAGGAGTCAAGGAGTAGTAGTAGAAAGGCTGCAGAAAGAGTAGGAGCCCAGAGGAGGGGGCAAAGGAGGTGAGGGGGTGGGGGCAGAAAGAGGAGACGAAAGCAAACGAAAGAATATTGCAAGAGAGCAGGAAAGGGGGTGAAAGGAGACGATTTTAGAGAAGAAAAGTCTTTTATTAATGGCAGATCTTGACCTTGCACCAATTAAGGATCACATTTCCATTTCACGTTAAGAAAAACCCATTTAAAATTAAGTCTGGTAAGTGATTTAGATGTCTTGTCGTCAGTAAATCATAAAATAAAATTATCAAGAGCAGAGACCATGCACCGATGCCTGTGAGCCTGCGCCTTGTGTTAACTAGCCAATAAAACTACAGACTTCAACATAAGTTAAGAACCACCTTGACAGACAGCCGTGGGTTATTGGGTGTTTTTTTTAATCCGAAAAAAAATGACAGCAAGGAATGTATCAAAATGTTTTGCTTTGAAAGTGTCAATGGGTTACCAATGCATTCTGCAAAGCTTCCTGAAGAACAAAACCACCACAAGCAGCACGGAAATCCTCTGGGAATTTTAGCCAAACTTGCTGTTTTTTATCGACTTGTGTGCGACACCACGGACATTCCTCAGTTAAAATTTCTGGTGTACGTCATGAACGGACGTACGTCTCGAACTGTGCTCACTTTGGTGGCAATATAAGCCGCCGACTGCGCAAAATCCAGTATCGCATCAACATATCACCAAGATGAAAGTATTGAAAGCTGAGAGACTTTGACGGTGGCATGACTGCAGGATATGGAGTTGGGACCCGAGAAGTTGCCAGAAGGCTTGCAGTGTCACACTCTGTCATTGTCCGCCTGAGGCAGCGCCATCAAGCCGATGGATCAGTCCAAGGTCGACCCAAAAAGACCACTTAAAGTGTTTGCAAAGTGGTCCTTAACTTATGATGAAGTCTGTACATGTACCTGCAAGTTCACTGAAGAGGAAGAAAAGCAAGGGTCCCTAAGAGTAGAGTGAGCCAAAATTAAGATATATTATAATATATTTGTTTGTTGTTTTTTTCTCCCTTCTTTGGTAGTTGCTGCAAATACTGCTATAAATATTATTGATTTGTTCAGATTCGTTTGCTTTCGGGGTGCTTGGGCTGCTTTAATTAGTAGCTCATCAATGTGATTTCCTTTGACTTTGAGAGTTTTAAGTTCGTCACTTTAACAAGCTCCATTTAAGTCTTCGTGTTAATGAGAAAAAGCACGCACGCACACACAAACACACACACACACACACACACACACACACACACACACAC